TTTTTTTTTTTTTTTAATTAAGTAATCAATATTTCTTGCAGGCTAATCCCCGTTCTTTCACTAACAATATACATCTGAAAAAATAATTGAGCTTTTAATCCGTGGGTTTAATCACTGCAGCAAAAAGGATTCATAGTTTATGTCTCGCTTTTGCCTTGTGATCTTACCGAAAATAGGCCAACGTAATTAAAAAAAAAAAAAATGGCCAGACTTTTACATAAAGATCGGTTGTTCAAAAACAGGATTTTATTACCGTCTTTTGCACACGCAAAGAAATTGACTTCTATTGATATTCTGAAGATTATTCAATGATAAAATATCGACATTATTGCGTCAAAAAGAAAATGTTGCGTTATGATTTGTGGCTTATCTCACATTTTCCTTACTATCAAATTAGAATCTCTAGCCCCAGGCATGAAATGCTTACAGAAAACTAGGAAAAGTACAAAATTTAAAACCTTGACTCCGTGTTCTTCGTCTATTTTCAAAATTTTCGACATCAATTGTTTATTAGCTCAACGACATTCTACAGGCGAATTCGAAGGGGAGCGGTTTAGCATGATCTCAACATCTAATGGAAAAATAACGAAAATTGCTCCTTTAATGCTATTTAATTTAAAAAAAACATCCCAAGCTAAAAGAAGGCTGTCGCAGTGCAGCTGCAGCTTTTTTTTTTGTGCTAGTGCTTTGAGTCAACTATATAACAATATTATGAGAAGAAGGGCAAGAAATATCGAGCGCAACCCCGTACCTGCAATTCCAAAGAATCGTCCGGTTGCTTGCTATTCGGAAAGGACGCCGCCGCGTGAATAAGGTTCTTTGAGAACGTGACTGACCGCGTCAGAAGATAAGTAAATTAAGAAGTGGTAAGCCTCCTTAATGGATCAACACAAAATAATTGGTTGGTTATGTACACTAACGGCGCTTTTAGTTTGCGACCTAAAAAGGTGCCATTTAGATCTGTTTGCAATTTGGCGCCGCTAGTAGTTGTATTAATTACGAAAAGGCTAAGATTTGCGTGGAACCTCAACCAATTAGTTTTCGAAATTCACAAAACAAAAATAACGTATGCAGCAAAACACAAAGTCTGAGATTGATTGATAAGAGCATAAGCGAAAAATGGGTAAGATTACCAAGGAATAGAATGGAAAGATTATACCTAAATTGAAATGAGAGGTTTTCTATTGCAGTTGTAAATGCGGATTGAGGTGAAGTCGGTACCTGTTAGCTAATCTTGCTTATTCCAGTTTCGAAAAAGAAATTTTTTGATTTATTAATTCAATCACGAATGTTGACAATTTTGGGGGCTTGTGTTTGGAATACATTTTCCCCGCAGCCCGTTCAAAATGGAGACACTTGAAAAAAAAAAAAAAGTTAAAATGTAAAAAACGAAAAGGGACAAATAAATTGTTTTGGTCCGCGGTAGCCTTAGATCTTGACAATCGATCTAATACTTGATACACGAAAACGAATTCAAGCCGGTTCCATGGATTTCAACTATAGACTGATTTATTTGGTAACTGGATATCTTTTTAATTTATCACTCGGCAAGATCTTTTAGAATACACTGGAGTTTAAGGAAGATATGTTTCCTCAGTTAGCCTTTACAAGTTAGTTTCATTTGTTTACTTGCTTTCTTAGGTATGTTTGCATTTTAAAAGATATTACTATTGACTTTTTAGAGAAGAAAAACGAAAGTTTTAACAAAAATTAATACCAAAACGTCTCTGAAGACTACAAAACGTTTTACGGCTTGCAAAGGCGTCATGACAAATCAAATGCGCTTGTTATGCTTGCCAAATGCAAGCCTTCACGAAAATCAAACTATCTGCTATTATTTTAAATCATATTTTGAAATAATAACCAAGAAAATGACAAACAGAAAAATCGCAATTGATAAACGGTGAATTGGCGACGTAAATTTTGTCTGCATTAGAACGGCTTTCTTTCCTGTTAGACAGATCGACACCTTTATTTAAAACTAAAAATTTAAAGGTGAAATTTTCAGGGTTGTCCCTTCAGGGAGCTTAAAAAGCATCTCTGCTTTCCTGTTACTGAAAATAATGCTATTAAGTACTGATTGAATTTCAAATCATGTTTAACCTGGGAACACAGACGAATTTTCGGCTTTTGTTCCTATCAGATCAATGTTTCGCACCACATTTTACATTTAGTCAAGAGCAAATGCTTCCATGGATCATGATCTGGGCGAAATTCGGTTTGCAATTTTTTATACAATGTATGTTTTCCTTTTAACACACATGGCCGCGATGATCAGAGTAGTTATAAATTCAAAGCTTACAATTTCGCCATGAATCTGAACCTAAAGGTGAAACTTTGTATCCGGCAAATACTGATCATACAACTGGACTTTCTACGTCATTATGCAACGGAAATTTGATCTGCAAAATCTTTTCGGATTGCTTGGGCTTACTGTGCAGGACGTTTCAAAAATCTGCAAAACCAAAGCCAGTTTCGAAGGAAACGAACCTGATAACTGGATTTCAGTTTGTGTTACTTCTGACTTCCCATAACCCCCATGCCTAAGGGCTGAGGTCGACATGATTTTATTTACTGAAATTTTTAACATTATATGAGCTAGGATTCGGGCCTTAGAATTTTGAAACCAGAAACTGCAGGGGACTGCACACGTTAAACGCTGCCAACGTAGGATCTACAAGAGATCTGATCAGCCAAAAAAAATGTATAAAGACAAACAATAGACTGCAAGGCTGATACTTCGTGAAAGACGTTTCGAGACACCAACATGACAAAAACCGATAAAGCAGGATTGCAACAGTGGACAGCTGTTTGGTCCTTCTTGGGACTTGTCAGCACTGGGTAGCGAGGATATGTAACGCCAGCCCAATAGCCAACGCACATAAATTGCAAAATGACCCCTTCAATATAACAAGTTCCATAGTTTGAACTCAATTGCGTTCCGAAACACGTGTTGCCACATCACGTGTTTCGGGGCGCAAGGAGACAAAGTGTCACGATTGGTGTCTCGAAAAGCAAAACATAAATGTGGCTGGACAAGGCCAGCATAAACATTTAACCGCATGGCCAGCACCATGCTTAGAATTTTGCATTGAGATACCTTTCTTTAATTAAGTAAAATTATGCGTGTGACCGGCCTAGAAAGATAAATTAATTAAGGTTTTCTTTCTCCGAGGCCCTCCATGTTCCTGTCGGTTTCGCCTCGGCTAACATCGAGGAAACATCGGGGGCCTTCGTCGACACACTAGGGAAACAAAACTCACTGTTCGAATTCCACATGGGGACAGTCATGACAGGTGTTTTGTTGACCCCAGCTTAAAATTAACCCCTGTTTTGTGGATTGGTCAACACTAACATGGCAGCAGCCATGACATCCAACAACAGTAATGCCCAGAAGACCGTAAATTGACGTTTCATTTAAGAATTGCGCAATTATGTGTCAGTGTCATAACACTTCTCCATTTGAATGTACAATTATTTCTTTTTGTGTGTGCGTGTGTCTATGTCTGTTTGTTTTGTGTCCCTGGCCTAAAGATGTAAAATATCTTTCCTGTTAACGAGCTGTCAAGAATTTTTAACTCTTAGGCTATTTTGGGTATCCAGCACCCCTATCATTTTGGTTTTTTACTCTATAACATTGTAATTTCTAACTCTGGGGTGAA